AGATTGTCCAAGGTATCTCTAAACTTTAATAATTAATAAATTTATTTAAAAAATATATAATTATATATATTTTTAGTCACTAATTATATTTTGATTAAAAAATAATATTGATTACCTTAATAAAATTTAGAGTAATTTTAATTTATTTTTTTGTTCAAAATTGTCCAAGCATGTCCAATAACAATCCTGTGTGCACCTTTTGAGTACCTATTTAAGTAGTTTGCCTATAGGTTCTACACTAGATGCTATATTTATAATCCAACTAGGAGGTTACCTGTTTAAACTTTCTAATTTCAACTATTTTTAAACATATTATACTAATCTGAAAATTACTATTTGGCTTATTCTACTAGATTGTGCACTCTGTCTAAAAACTTCTATAACTTATTCTGGGTTTGTATTGACTAATTACTGGCTTGCATTTCTTTGTTAAGCAGATGCATAGCTATCCTCAAGGTATATCTACTAAAGCTTTCTATATTCCATATCTAGCTGATCTAGTCATTGCAGTTGTCAAGACTCCTACTTGCAGTTTGAAGTAATCTAATTAAATTGCTATATACTTGTAAGGTTTACTTCAACCCTAGTACTTATATTTGAGTCTTTCTTTTTCTATTATTATCTTATTGGTTTCTCTCTTACTCGACTAAAAGATTTGATACTAGCTAGACTCTAGATACTTTATATTCTGTCTCTTCTTGATATATAATTTTATAACACATGTTTTTTTTCTCTAATTGGGTCTAGCTAGTTTTCAGAGATTATTTAGCTCTTGTTGTTAGATGGAATCTAATTCTCAAATCCTAGTTATAGTAGATAGCCACTCTGGTTTTTCATGCTAGCTAACTAGATTGGTGTGCTAATCTTCTCTTTAATAGATAGTTGGGTTAGTAGATCCCCCTACTTAAGAATCTTGTTGTTATTTGGTTTTCTAATCTTGGCTGTTACTTCTAAATTCAGCTTTCCTGTAGCACTCACAGGTTGAATCAATAAATAACAGGTATATATCAGGAAACAAATCTTCTAGTATGTATCTGTTATTCTACCACATATCTGCCAAATAACTGTAACATATCGGTAGAATATTGGTAATATATAAGTTAGATATTGGGAGATAGATCGATAATGGTAACATAATAGTAACATACCAGGATATTCTGATATCTTACTCTTAGCACTATTTGGATAAGAGTAAGATATCAGGATGTCCTGGTATATTACTGTTATGTTACCATTATCGATCTACCTCTCGATATCTAACCTATATATTACCAATATACTACTGATATGCTACAGTTATTTGATAGATGTGTAGTAGAATAACAGGTACATACCAGGAGATTTGTCTCTTGATATGTACCTGTTATTTATTAATTCAACCTGTAACTATTAAAAGTAATCACTACCTCTTTACTTAAGTCTTTCTAAACAGGTTTTAATCATTCTGGTTTCTGTACCAAAGCTTCCATAATGAAATAGTACAACCAAGATTACAAATTGTAAATCTAACCAATTAGTAGATAATTGTTATCTAATACAGATTTATTTTTTGAAAAACATTGTTTATAAGATTTGAACTCTAGATTTACCACTTGGTGGGTGACAACTAGACCACTTCACTAAGCCACTACACTTCAGAATTTTGATTTATATTTAATAATTTTCTTAGTAAAATTATAATAAATATTCTAATTTTCAAAATTTTACTCTATATAAAATTGATTTAGTATATAAATTTATATATTTACAATTCAAACTCAAACAGTTTGCAAACTTTGAAATCAAATTAAATCAAACTTGCATTTACAATTTGATTTAATTTAAGTTTAAAATAAACAAGTTTGATCTTGGTTTAAGTTTGAATTTGTGAAAAATTTAAAGTTTGAGTTTGATTTGATTTGAAGTTTGTCAAACTCAAATCAAACTCAAATCAAACCTTGGTACCCTAATTTGAATTAATCACTAGCAAAGATTAAATAGTATAAAATTTAAGCTCTAAATATTTACTTATTTATATAAATATTGCCAAATTATAAACAGGATTATTTCTAATAACCAGAATAACTTGAATAATCTGGTATAGATTATATGATAATATTAAGAACTTTGTTGACAAATTTTACAATATTTTTGGCATATAAAAAATATATATTGATTATATTATCATAATAAAATACATGAACAAAAAAAAAATCATTACTTTAGAATCTTGAAGCAGTATTAAAAAATGAATTAGAAAGCAAACTAAACATATTGTATTGAATAGCCTTGGAAGCTTGAAAACAATTAGTCACCAACTAATTTAATTGGCCAATAATCACATATAAATTAGCCAATCAGATAAATACATTCCAATGAGAAAATCATTCCAGTGGAATTTTTTACTGGAACCACTAAAACACTAGAAGAATTTGGACGTCCAGTCTTCCAGTAACAACACTAATAATGAGTATAGAGAGTATAAAAAGTATAGAGAGTATAAAGAGTTAAAAAAATATTGTGCTAGTAGTAACTTCTATTAGAAAAGTAGAAAAATTCTATTAATAAACCTAATATTAATAACTTTGCTAATACAATTTAACTAATAGATATACTAATAAAGTATATATATACTAAAATATACTAATATAACAATAGTATAAAAACTCACTTACCTTAAAGTTTTTGAACTACTTTTATTGATTTTATGTTAAATACTTTGCAACTCCTATAAATTTTTAACGTAAAATATATCAAATAAAAGCTAATTAGTAAAAGTAGTCCAAATTTTCAGAAAGGTAAAATATTACACTAAGAAGCTTGGTTTAAGTGTGTTACAATCATATCTCATCATGCTATAATATAATATATGCCATTATCATGCATAAACATAACATGTTTAAATTGAGATTTTTACCAAGTAAATCAATCTTTGCGTACTAAGTATGGTAAAGATGTTTGTAGTGCAAAATTCTATTATTATAAAAAATTTTTGTGAAATTTGATTACTTTTCACTAATTAACCTTATGCTTCTTCAAAAATTTATATGCGTTTGCAGAAACGTTTGATTAATTAATAATAATAATAAAAATAATTCAAATTTCATAAAAATCGGAATTTTGTGCTACGAACTACTTTAATTAGTACACGAATGTCGATTTGATTAGTAAAAAAATCTCAAAAATTTTAAAAAGTTCGATCATAACCGAACATTATATTATAAATGAGATCAGCTTATTTATTATCTCGCAAAATAAGATTCATTTCTATTGCAAATAATAACCAAAAATTCGAAAAATAATAACATACAATATATACCAATCGGATCAATGATAAACTATGAGGGAGGTGGTAAAAAGTTTTTCGGTCTAGGTAGAATATTATATCCAAAAGGGTCATCAGGATGTCGTGGTTGTTGTCGAGGACCTGCACCTCTACCTCTACCACCTCTATGGCTACTTCGTCTTCGAGTGTTATTATTAGCTCCATTTGCGACAAAATTGGAGTTTGTATCACTACGAAACGCGCGTTTACCAATCTGCTTTGAGTTTTCTAATTCACCATGTTCCCTGTTATTTAAATAACTCATTAATATTTTTAAATATTTATAAAGTAAATCAGTAGATAAAAAGCTCACATGGTATTTTCTTGCCTAAGAGTTTTTTTATGCCGTATTTCTTGTTCATCATCCGAAAAATCACGTTCCTATATTTGAATTAAACCATTTAAACAACAATTCAAGACAATTTCTTGAAAAGAAAAAAAATAAAATAAAATGTAATTACATTTTCATCAACTTCTTCGTCGTTAATATTACTAGCGTCACATCCTTTAAACTGACGAATTTGGTCAGGGAATGCATAGTGAATATATCCATCTGCAGCATATACATTAGCGCCTTCCACAGTTTTTTCTTTATTGAATTCGTTTTCATTATTGAAACGAACTACGTATAAAGGTTGACTAACTGGGCCTATAGTTTCAAAGATCTTGATTGGTGAACATAAAATCATTATTATTAGATAAATAATACATTTAAACTAATAAAATATCGTGGAATATTTTACTTTAATTAACTCACGGTCCCAAAAACCTCGGGGCCTTCAAGTAGTAAGACAGTATCAGAATCCAAAACTTGATTTTCACCAGAATTGATTGATTTAATAACCACATAATTTTCCACAATATGAAGTATTGTTCCAATTAGTTTTAAATTTGTGTCAGGTTTAAGGTCAATTTCTGGTTTAGATATTACTAAATCAATTATTTCATTTTTAGTGCGTAAAGGAAGAAGACCATCATCATAGGAATCAACAGAATCATAGGAATCAATAGACGACGAATCGAATGACGAATCGGATGAATCGGACGAATCGGATAACTCTTCTATATTGTTTATTTCCTTTTCTTCAGTAACTGCTTGCAGATTTTCGGGGTCGTAAGACATGGATGTCTAAAGTATTTTGTTCCTGATGACAAAATTATATTTGCAGCAGGGACCCTTAAATTTTAGATACAAAATTTTCACAAAAAAATCTAAAATTTCAAGTATCAACTCAAATTTTGGGAATTTATATCTAAAATCTAAAAATTTCCATATTATAGTTTGTGATACGTAGGAAAGCATGACAGAAATTCGGTTTGATTGGTTGTCGATCCAGATCATCAAACTCATATCGGCCTAAAGACAATGTTGATTGTTCGATCCAGATCATCAAACTCATATCGGCCTAAAGACAATGTTGATTGTATTGTTAATTCAGATCCAATCCCGCAAATCCGCTGTAATAGTAAATTGTATAATAGAAAACACTTCGTTAAACCGCAATATATTAAAATTAGTAAGATAAAATTCTAACGTTATTAAGATGTAAAGTCTTCCATTGAACATTTTGTTCTTGTAGAGTTAAAAAATGTTAAATATTACGGGAGGAATTAAAAGCGAAGTAAATTCGTTTTTTTTTTTTTATAATTATTTAGTATAGCGTGCAAATCTGAAAAATTTTACTACGTATAAAAAATCCCCCAATAATGCGCCTAGCACTGCACCTGATTTACCACGCACTGCAACGGTGTGATGCGAACCCTTGTTATAAATTAAAACTTTAACTATTAATTTGCAGTTGACAAACTCAAACACACTACAAGAACCGACCAAATTTAAATATTACGCCCGGATCTTCTTTGCTAAAGAGCTTTTACCTATTCAAATTAAACAGTTAAAAATAAAAGTTTATTTAAATCTATCGTAATAAAATAGTTTTAGACGAAAACGTTTCTGGTTAACTTCACTCTACAGTATAATTTGATATGGTCCAATAAACGGTAGGCATACTTTGCCTTCTAAGTAAAGTTCGTGGGGATAATGATTATTGCTGATTATTTTTGTATAGTGGATATAGACGTTCTATCGAAACGAAAATGTCCTATGAAAGCGCGCAGGTGGAATATTCACAATTCTGGACTGTATTAGCAGTAATATAATGTGGCCGCAGTAGGTTCAAAAAAAATATTTGATTTGATTATCCCGTGTTTTATTTATAAAAATTTCATACAAACTTAACTTATTTAACTTCTAAGACATACAGTATATGACTAGTTTGTATTGGATATTGATGCCGTGATCTAGAGACATAAATTTATGTGACTTAGTGCGATTTGATTCCTAATTTTATATTTAATAATATTCAAAACAATCGACAAAATTATTAAGTATTTTAACAAAACAAAAGAATGAACTTATAAAATTTATCAAAATTTATCTAAAGGAAAATTTTAACTCTCATCGGTGAAGTGCAATATCTCAAAAACGTACTAAGTAACCGGGATCGAGTACTCGAGAACAACTCATAGGGATATCCCCAAAATTCCGGGTCGGATGCATCGGAACCCTGGTCGGATGGGCCGAAATTGATTAATTTTGCCCAAGATCACCAAGAATTTTGCTAATGAAATCATAGTCGTTCATTAAGTAAAAAAATGCCCAGATGATAATTTTACTATAGCTCCTACTAACCAGAATAACTAACCCTAACCCTAACCCCACGATGCATTCCGGCCATTCCGAACCGGAAATTTATGTAAAAAATCACGAGAACCGAATATCTTATGTTATATAAAACTCCCTTTATCTTAAAACTGCACCTTAACCCTAAAAGTTCTTAGGCCGGTGAATTTTAAATAACTTCTTATCTAAACTTTATTAAATTTAAACTAATTTTTTGTTGTTATCATAAAAAATAAAAAAATTGAGTTTTTAAAATTTTACGGGTCCCTGCATCTTAGCTATTTTCCGAGCCTTAAGTTTTGGCCCTATTGGTCCGATGATCACGAGACCGTCAAATTTTTGCGCCATCACTATGTTATCCTCAAGCGGATCCGGACTGAAATGTAAAAAGTTCTAAATATAAGTTAGAATAATAAACTTGTTTTTCTAAAGTGATGAAATTTTATCAACACATGAAATTGCTCGAGAGTTCAACTTACAAACAAATCAAAATCTCTGTTATATATTATCGAACCATAGTAGCAAGGTAAGATGGTAAAAAACAGGTTTTCACCGATTTAAAACAAGTGATGATTAAAGTCCGAATAAGTTAAATCCGGATAAACATATTTAAGATCATAAACATCACCTGTTTTTAATTACGTAATAAAGCCATCCTTTATTTATATAAAAAATCGATATTTTTCCAGTCTTTAATTAACTACGTATTCTTAAATGGGATAATCAAAAAAAGTGTGCCATTATTACATTATTCTAAACGGTTAATACGTCTTTTACGTACGAAAAATTAAACTAGCAATTATTATAGGCGGCTGTTATACATAATTTTAGGTAGCGTACCCACAAAAATTTTCCCCTCCCTGTAATTTTTTTGGTTCTACCACAAAATCTCGAAAACCATTTTCCCGAAAGAACATAATGCCGACTAAATTGGCCAGCATTATAACTAATGCCGGCTAACTTTGTCGGTATTAGGTCCTTTCGGGAATCCGTCTTTCGGGATTTTGTGGTAAAACCAATTTTTTTTAATCAAGAATAAAACAGCGTTGTAGTTAGGGTTAGTGTCAGAGTAACCCAATATTTAATAGTAAAATTTCACAAGGAGCATTTTTAATTAGGCCGCAGTAGATAGTTTCTTAATTAAAATTCAGAGTTATTTCTGTTTTTTTTGTAAAAAGTGCCTTCGCCTCGATTGGGGTTGTTATACATACCCCCCAAT